TTTGTAGACCTCGTAGATAAAATTTTAAAACTCTTGTCCCTCTGTCTGGCATGGAGATGATGATAGAAGGATAGAGTTCTGAATTAATCCATGTCAGAAAGATTGCAGCTATGCTTGTTTCATGTGATTTAAAGACAGAAGAATAAAACAAACAAACAAACAAAAAAAAAAACAGAACACATGGCCCACCCACCTAGCGAATATTATGCACATAGTTTTTCCTTGGAATGATACTTTAGGATAGGCCTCAGTATTACATCTGAAAACACTTCAAAACATTTAAAATTTCCTAATCCCCTTTCTCGGCAATTTCATTTTAAGTGTTTCTTTCTACCAAGAAAGCCTTTGAAATAGTATTTCTCACTAAAACATTCAAATTAGGACATTTTTCACCTTCGTATTTTGTCTCTCATGACATTTCTGAAGATTTTATTTATTTCTGTCTGGCCTCAGTTGTAGCCACCACAAATATTTTTTAGAAAAAAAGAAGAGTTAGAAAATTTTGTCATGATGCAAAAGGAGAGCAAACACTTCATTCGCTTAATCATTTTTAGCATGAAGTTATCATGTTAAATCTATTTGAAGCTTACTAACATATGAGATCTTGAAATATGCATGGCTGAATGTAAGCAAGTAGCAATGCTTAGCTGGTTTTTGTTTCTTTTTACTTACACATCTGAGTAGTCTGACATGGAAATCACAGCTTTGTTCATATTTTCCATCAAGTATCCATTCTTTAGTCCCTTTTTGGAAAGTCCCTCTTGTAGTATGTATGTAAGAATTTTCCCTTCTACTTTATCCCAAAATTATCCCTTAGTTCAGAAATCTACACATTTTTAAGATTGCCCCAAACTGCAGTATTTTCTATGGTTCCAAATCTCTTAGTGTTTGGTAAATATAGTCCTTTTTAGGTTGATGGTCTGCACTTGTTCTTCTTCAAGCAGTTTTTAACTGGAAGTTTAGAATCGTCCAGAATCATAAAACAGAGAGTCACAGAATCACAGAATTGCAGGATTTGGAAGGGATCTCAAGAGACCATCAAACCCATTCCTCTGCTAAACCAGGTACCCTTCAACAGATTGCACAGGTAGGTGCCCAGACAAGTCTTGAAATCTTCACAGAAAGAAACTACACAGCCTCTCTGGGTAACCTGTTTCAGAGCTCCATCACACATCATAAAGTTATTTTGCATGTTAATACAGAACTTCCTGTGTTCAAGTTTTAGGCTATTATTCCTTGTCCTATCATTACACGCCACCGAGAAAAGCCTGGTCTCATCCATTTGCCTCTCATCTCCCTTTAGATATTTATAAACATTTAACAGATCCCCTCTCATTCTTCTGTTCTCCTGTCTGAACAGACTCCAGACTCCAGGCAGGTCATGCTGCACCAACCTCATCTCTTTCTATGACTGAGTGACAAGACTAGTAGACAAGGGAAAGGCTGTTGATGTAGTCTACCTAGACTTCAACAAAGCCTTTGACATGGTCTCTCACAATATTCTTCTGGAGAAACTGGCTGCCCATGGCCTGGACAGGTATACACTTCTTTGGGTAAGGAACTGGCTGGAGGTCCTTGCCCAATGGGTAGTAGTTAATGGAGTTAAGTCCAGCTGGTGACCAGTTACAAATGGTGTCCCCCAGGGATTGGTACTGGGGCCCATCTTGTTTAATATCTTTATTGATAACCTAGATGAAGGGATTAAGTGTGCCCTCAGTAAGTTTACAGATGACATCAAGTTGGTAGTGTCGATCTGCCTGAGGGTAGGGAGGCCCTTCAGAGCGATCTAGATAAGCTGAATCACTGGGCTGAGGTGAATGGGATGAGGTTCAACAATGCCAAGTGTCAGGTCCTGCACTTTGGCTGCAACAACCCCATGCAGCGTTATAGGGTTGGGGATGAGTGGCTGGATGACTGTGTAGAGGAAAGGGACCTGGGGGTGTTGGTTGATGCTTGGCTGAACATGAGCGGACAGTGTGCCCAGGTGGCTCAGAGACCCAACGCCATCCCAACCTGCATTAGAAATAGTGTGGCCAGCAGGAGCAGGGAGGTGATCGTCCCCCTGTACTCAGCACTGGTGAGGCCACACCTTGTGTACTGTGTTCAGTTTTGAGCCCCTCACTACAAGAAAGACATTGAGGCCCTGGAACGTGTCCAGAGAAGGGCAACGAAATGGTGAGGGGTCTGGAGCACAAGTCTTATGAGGAGCGGCTGAGGGAGATGGAATTGTTTAGTCTGGAGAAAAGGAGGCTCAGAGGAGACCTCATTGCAGTCCACAATTTCCTGAAGGGAGGTTGTGATGAGGAGGGGTTTGGCCTCCCAGCAACAAACAGGACCCAAGGAAACGGCTGCAAGTTGTACCAGAGGAGGTTTAGGTTAGACATAAGGAAGAACTTTTTCTCTCAGAGAGTGGTCAGGCACTGGAATGGCTGCCCGGAGAGGTGGTGGAGTTGCCGTCCCTGACAGTATTCAAAAGGTATCTGGATGAGGAGCTACGAGATATGGTTTAGTGCTTGTGGTAGCAATGGTAATGGGAGGACGGTTGGACTAGATGATCTTGCAGGTCGTTTCCAACCTTGCGATGCTATGATTCAGTTATTCAACATTTCCTCATAAGGGAGATGCTTCAGGCCCACTTTGTGGCCTTCTTCTGTACTACTTCTAGGAAATCCCTGAATTTTTGAACTGGGGATCCAAGTACAGGGAACAGTATTCTAAATGTGTCCTCACTAGGGCAGAGTAGAGGGGCAGGATCACCTTCCTCAAACTACAGGCCACACCCTTTTTAATGCACCCCAGGATAGCATTGGTTTTCTTTGTCTCATGGGCATGCTGCTGGCTCACAGCAAATTTGTTGGCCACCAGGACACCCAGGTCCTTCTCTGCAGAGCTCTTCTCCAACAGGTCATCCACTAACCTGCACTGATGCATGTGATTATTCCTCCCTAGATGCAAGACTCTACACTTGCTCTTGTTAAACCTCATCAGGATGCCCAACTCTCCATTTCAAACAGCACCTTAACACAGACACTGATGTGAAGTCACATTCATGCACCTATTTCCTTCCCACAAAAATGTTATATTAGAGAGGCATTTCCTGTACTTTTTATGCCAAGCAGTGCATTTTTGCAGCTGGAAACAAGGAAGAACCAGCATCATATATCACCAACAAGCCCTCTAAGTAGACATCTAAAGACCACATTCCAAAAATCATTGTTTAAGTTTTAAAATACTTCAAATCTATCTTTTCTTTTGTTTCCACTATCTTTGTTTTAAGGTACAAAAAAGAACTGTCATCAGAAATGTCAAACTGTAACTATCCATGCATTTGCATAACCTGGACACTGACAGACACTGCTTTTAACTCATTTGCAAGGACTTCAGTTTCCTTCTTCTCTAACTAATGCTCAGTTGAACTGCTAGAATCTTTTGTCCAGCTTTAACTCCCCTTTTTCTTCCCACAGTTTCGGTTGTTCGAAACGTGCATACAAAGGTATCTTTGTTACACTTTCTGGAAAAGAAACAGATTCTTCAGTCTTGTAGTTCTCAGAGAATTTGAGATTTTAGTGGCCTTTGGCAAAGAAGATCAGCATTTTGGCAGCAGAAGTAGAGTTCATTGACAAAGATATTTAGAGCTTCCTCACTGGAATTGGTGGGTCAGAGCTAATAGTTCTCTTATTCTCAACTTAAAAACAACAATAACAAGAGCAAATTGATTTCTAAATACAAGCTTTCAAATCAGTACAAAGCATAACTTTCATAAATTCCCTAGAAAAGTCTTATTATGTAAATAAAGTTGATATTAGAAAGAGCGTCTCTAGAGGTCAAACACAGGTTATTTGGAAAGCTGAAGCATCCGTATGTTGTATCAGTTAGAATTCCAGTGTTTTACTCACTGAGGGCCTACCATGTCTGTTTTTCCATTCCAGTGGCAGATTGATTTCATATTTAATTTCACATGCACCCCATATGCACAACTATAATTTGTGTATACCCTCCAACTGAATTTATAGAGTGAACTGATTTAACTTTTCCTCAGGAAAAGGCATCTCTGAGAATCTTTCTTTGTTTTTTTGGCTCAAAGCTTGCTTCCTTAGGTATTTTGTTCAGGAGGCAAGTGATGGATGTTGTGCGGCAATCAACATCGCTGTGTGGACAATTTTACATCTTTAACAATAAACTCCTAAACAACATTAACAACCAAAAACCCATTATCTCCTCAAGCACTAATATTGTCCTGAACAACTTAAAAGTAGTAGTAACAACATACTCAAGAAAGGCAAAATCACACTTAGGTGAATTAGGCACTAATACCACCTTCTTGCACAGGATGCAAGCATATAGCAGTCCCGGAAAATACCAGTCTCTGTAACAATTTTCTTGGAAACTGACAGAAAGTTAAAATGGCCCATGTGGAATCGCCCAACTGCATGTTGGCATCAAAAGAGCTTTGCCAGCACATCAAGGGAGGTGATCCTCCCCCTCTACTCTGCACTGGTGAGGCCACATTTACACTGCTGTGCCCAGTTCTGGGCACCTCAATTCAGTTAAGTTAAAAGTTAAGTTAAAGTTAAAAGACAGGGACCTCCTAGAAGGAGTCCAGCAGAGGACGACCACAAGGATGACTGGGAGCCTCCTATGTGAGGAAAGGCTGAGTAACCGCGCTCTGTTCAGCCTGGGGAAAAGGACACTGAGAGGGGATCTGGTAAATATTTATAGCTATCTAGAGGAAGGTGGGAGGCAAATGGGTGAGACCAGGCTCTTCTTGATGGTGTGTAGCAAGAGCACAAGGAGTAACGGCCTAAAACTTTCTGGCATTTATTCTGGCATTTATTGAATTTTAATAAATGATACAATTTTTTTTAGCACTTCCCTTCCCTCCCATCCCCTTCCTTCCCATTCCCTTCCCTCTTCGCTTCGCTTCGCTTCTCTCTTTGCTTCGCTTCGCTTCGCCTCGCCTTGCCCTCTGCTCTCCTTCTCCTCCTCCTCCTCATCCTCCTCCTCCTCCTCCTCTTTGTCTTTCTCTTCGTTCATCTACCGGCTCCAGCGTTGAAGGCAAAACTCTCTTATTCTTTTCCACGTCTCACTAGAAATAGAAGAGTCTCCAGTTGTGACTTGTGACCTCAAACAGACTCAAAGCTGCCTCCTCCCTGGATTCCTCTGGCAGAGGCCAGCTACAACTGTGACCTCAGGCACTGCAAAGGCGGGAGTGCCAGTACCTGTCTGTTGGCCCAAGCGGCCGGGAGAAGTTGCTCATCACGGCCTCTGTGTGACAGCGGGTGAGGATGACCACCGCCTGGCACAGGAAGGGCAGGAACGTGCTCTGCTGCGCAAACGATGTGATGCTGCGCAGGATGTAGAGGATCGGTGGCACCTGAAAGAAGAAGGGGAGAAAGAATGACTTGCTGCATCCTGGACCTGGCCTGCATCCTGCAGGGCCTAACCACGTGCGATAGCCAGAAAAAGTCCAAGACGCGTGGGAGAAAGTCTCTTACGTTCCAACTGATGTCCTTCCCGTGCATCTGCAGGAAGGTGGTCATCCACTTCCCACACGCACGCACGCGCACTCCGTTGGCTTTCCGGATGGTCTCCTTGATGGCCGCCATGAAGTCAACGGTGCGTTCAATGGGGAAGTTTCTGCACACAATCTGCCGAGAAATGAGAAGCGGGAGAGATCCCATCACTGCTCTGCTGCAGCTCTTCCAAACACCAAGCAGTCTTGAGGGCATTCTTAGCTCAGCGGCTTGCCGCTCATTCAGGCGGCAATCACAGCGCTCCTGCTGTCTGTACCCTGCTGTTTATACGGAAGGCGGTTGAGCCTTCTCTCAGCTTCTGCACCCATGGTGTTTGCTTACATGCAATGCCTACCTCCCAGCAGCCACAGTCACACATGCACACAAACACACACACACAAACACACGTCATGGCATCAGCTCCTTGCACTGGGTGCCTGAAGGCTAGACATAGCTCAGAGCCTCCTGCTACTTGCTGAGAAAAGCAGTCGCAGGGTGACAGCTCATCTTGGAAATGGTGTGAGAGGCTGGGGGCAGCATAGGGCCATGCAGAATTCTACGGACAGAGATCCCACCACCCCTTTCTGGGTCCACTTACTCTTGCCATTTTGGACGTGGTCTGGAGCTGAGAGGCGATGCTGCAGGCATGCAGCCCCTCGCACAGGCTCTTGATGTCACCTGTCTCAATGACTGTGTTGACTGCTTTGGCTGGAAAGAGCACAGGGAGAAAACAGAAGTCATGCTTCTGGAAATAGGACCGCTTTCCATGCTGGAGAGACAGAGGACAGGATGGGGACAAGAGGAGAACTGTGCACGGTGCCTCTTCCTCCTGTCAAGAGGGCCCAGCCCGTGGGGCTCCGGTAGTGCTACGGAGGAGGGCAGAGGGCTGGAGCACGCCTGCTCTACTCACCTTGGATTCGCAGAAGGGAGGTCAGACAGGTGACGGCCAGCTGGCGGGATGCGGGCATGGGGTCACATGTCAGAGGCGCCAGCAATCCCACCAAGGAGCCAAAGTGCTCACAGGCATCTCCTCTCTGCAGGGGTGAGAGGCAGGAACAAAGCTGTAGACGGCCCCAGCTCTCCCCAGCTTCTCCCATCTGTGCCTTCCCCACGCCGTGACACAGCATGCACAGCTGGGCGGAGCTCACCTTCCAGCTCGGGGGCACCGGGGAGGGAGCAGGGGGCATGCGGTGGGGCTCTTTACTCACTTGAAGCTCTTCACAAACAGACAGCAGCTGGGAGCAGGTCTGCAGGGCCCTCTTGCGCTCCCACACATTGGTTGATGTCATAGATTTCTGCAGGACCTGGGGTAGAGCATCTGTCTCACTGAGGACGTCTTTTCCTTCCCTTCCTGCCACCCCTCTCCCTATCCCTCCTTTCCCAGCACTTTCCCTCAAGGCCTCCCGCCTCACTGAGCACCGGCACTGCTGCTCCCGCAGCACATACTCACGTGGACTATGTTCTGAAAGAAGCCACCGCTGGGCTCTGTCTCCAGCAGGACCCCCATGAGCCGGCCCAGAGCTTTCAGTGATGTTTGCTGAAGCTGAAAGCAGAAGAGGGGAGTGACGTGTAGCATCACGGCTGCTGCCAGAGCAGAGGTTGTGTGTGCTGAGGTAGGGTTCCGACCCAGAGGTGGCCGGGAAAGTTACGGCAGGTTACCTGCAGGTACTGTGCTGCTTGCTGTGACTTCCTGATCTTCAGCATCATCTCTGCTGAAGGATGTGTCACGATGTTCTTGCAGCACAGGACCAACATCTCACGCATGTCCTTGCTTTCAAAAGAGGGCTTCAGCTTGCTGAGAGGAGGAAAAAAGGAACAGAAATCAGAAAGGGCCTCTACCAGTGCTCTCTAGACTGGTTCCAGCAACCTCTGAATTTCTCCTAATCAACAGCTACAAAGCCAATATCCCCAGCTCATGCTGCTGAGCACCGTCTTCAGTTCCAGCAGCGACCACCTCCTTCCCAGCAGCAGTGAACCACCTCCCGCTCTGGAGGGAAGGAGACCCCAGCTCTCCCTTCTCTTCCCTGCCAGGGCACAGGAGCACCAGCGCCTTTCTCCCTGCCCCAAACCTCAACTTCGTTGGGCACAACAGCCCAGCCGTCTCTCCTGTAGATGTGGCTCCTCCCTCCCTGCCCCCTCCAGGCCCTCAGGAGCTACCCAAAATGGGGACCACTATCCTGACTTGCAACCTCAGTCCTTACCTCAACTGCTCCAGGGCCAGAACCACCTTCAGAGGCACTGGGGAGACAGGGATGCCCGAGTAGTACTTCTTCATCAGGTCCTGCAAGTCCCAGAGAGACAGTGTCAAAGTGGGCAAGGGGCACACAAGAGCTGTTCCACCCAGCCCCGAGACAGGCACAACTGCCACACACCAGCCCCATCACTTTCCCATGGAAGCACTGCAGGATGCAGCAGCTTGACAGCTGGTGCACCTAGCCTGCTGCCCAGCCGCTGCCTGCCAGCACCCAAGGTCCCCACCAGCTGGAGACGTGTGGCTGCTGGACACCTGTATGCCCCCAGGGAAGCGAGCCTTGTGGCGCTGCCCAGAACTCCTCTGCAGACAGCCCTGTCTCTAGGCACTCACCATCAGGATCTCCAGCAGCTTGCTCTTCAAGGAGCGGTTAAAGCTTGCAGAATCACCCACAGCTTGGAAGGCAGAGCTGCAGTCGGTGATGCTCTGCAGCAGCGCGAGGTTGTTCTGCAAGTCCTGAGGAGCAAGAAAGAAGAACATTCTTTAAACTGCGGGAAGGGACAAGGGCTGCAAGGGGGACACGTGGAGACAACACTAAGGGAAGGGCTTGGATCTTCATGTGGACACAGACCCTTCCCCGAAGGACCTTTGCAAAGGGAAGGCCCATCTCAGCATCCCCCCATGTGGAGGGGCTGCAGCTGGGCGCTCAGACACCCTGGCATGCTTTGAGCTCTTACCCGGCAGCTGCAGCTGTACAGCATCAGGATGTTGCCCACGATGTCTCCCTCCAGGTGGGCGAGCAGCTGTTCCTTGGAGGCACGCAGTGCCACGCTGCCGTGGGCGAGCATGAGAGCGCTGCGTGTGGCATGAGCTCTCGTGCTGTCCAGCTCCATCTGTGTGGGAAGAAATGCCTTGAGACACTCGCTAACGGCCCCCAGTGCCCCGCGATGCACCTGGGCTCCCAAGGCAGGAGCTGCAGGGAAAATAAGGCAGAAGAATGCCAAGATGGAAACCCGTAACGCTTTACCTTCTTGCGCCTGGAAATCCTGGCGTTGCGGCCTTTGCACAGCCTGGACGCAAACATGGTGAGCGTGGCCAGGACTGTGTGGAAGTTGTTCTCAGCAGCATGGCTGAGAAGAGAGATGATTCCCTGCACAAAAGAACAAGGGGCCGTTGGCACAGGCCTGAATCTACAGGTCCTCTCCTGAGCAAAATGGCAGCAGTGAAGAGGTTGAAAGGCCTGGAGCAGGGCCAGGAGAAACCTTCTGCCCCAGGGCCAGAGCAGGGATGCTCGCAGGAGCTGGAGGAGAGGAGAGCTCACCTGGACCTCACATGGTTCCTCCTCATTGGCCTCCTCCAGGTGCTGCAGCAGCTTCTCCTGGACGTGGAGGACTCCCTTGCAGGATCCCAGCACTGTGCCCAGAGCCTTGTACGGGAACGACTGCATGGGAAGGGAAGGAAGAAGCTGAGATGTGGCAGCAGCTTAACCTGCTGGGGGAGGGCCAGGTGGGGAGGACCCATGCTCCCTGGGAGTCTCTGAGAGCAGCTGCAGGGCCGAGCTTTAGCCATCCCCGGGCAGACTGCAGGGAAAGGCCCTCTGGGGGGCACAGACTGGGAGGGAAGCAGCATCAGCATCCCGCATGGGCAGAGTACCAGCCGCAGCCCCAGCCCCAGCTGGACACCTGCAGCTGCACCGCTGGGTAGAGCCGGGGGGAACTCACCTTTTCTGCAGAGCTGCTGGCAGAGCTGCTCAGTCGCCGGCTCAGCTCACTGCTCAGGGCCTCGGTCCACGCCTCATCATCTACGGTGTCCACTGACGCCCTCAGGAACTGTTGGAGAACAGGAGAAGACAGTGTTCCCTTGCCCTTTGCCTTGAGAGGCTGTCCCTGTCCCACAGTGGCTCACGTGGGAGCGGGGCTACTTGGGGCAGGCAAGCACTTCTCTGCACCGCGCCTCCTGGCAATGCTGTACCTTTAGCAGACGGCGCTCAAACTCGGCAGTGTCCGGGAAGCTCTCATTTCTCCCTGCACAGCAAGAGGAAGAAAAAGACCCTTACTTGGGATCAAGGCACAGAAGAAGAGCTGCTGCAAGCATGGCTTGGCCTGGGCACTTGACACAGCCAAGCTGGGACCCGCACCTCCTCCACAGTGACCTGTCCCTCCCCACAAACACTGTCCCTGCAGGAACACAGAACTAACTGCTCCAAGGCTGCTGTCTGAGGGGATGTGAAGGGTCCATCCCTGTCCTGGAATGGGCAGATTCCCAGGGGCATAGGTCCCTGGGCCTCAGAGCTGACTCGCAGGAATGGAGACAGCGCAGCACTGGGCTGCAGGGCACAGTGCTTCCCCTCTGCCACTGCAGAGCTGCATTTTCTCTCAGACCCCTTCCCAGCCTCCGCCTCTTCCTCCCCACCAGTACTTTACCTTCAAGGCACTGCAGCAGCAGGGGGATCTCAGCAGCCCACATGGCCCCCACAGCTCTGTGGAACCTGCCATGGAGGTTTTTCATCAGCAGTAAGGCAGCGGCTTGGAGTTTGCTGCCTGCAACAGGGCTGCCTGCCACCACCTGAGTGAGAGCAACGAGAAGCAGGGTCACTTCTGCAGCAGGAGCAGCTGCTTCCCCCCAAAAAGGAAGCAACTTGGCTCTGCCCTGGCAGGCAAGGAGCAGCCAACAGCTTTGCCCATGGCCATGCTGCTCCCTCCTGGGTGCTCGTGGCACCGGCCTCTGGAGCATGTACTCACCAGCAGTCGTGCCAGCAGTATGTGGGGCGTCAGCAGTGGGCCTGCAAAGAGAAAAAAAGTGCTGAGTAAGACTCCAAGACACCGCGTGCCCAGCCATGCACACCTCCGCTGTCCCTTCTGGGTGCTACCACAGGTCAGCAGAGCTCACTGGGGGAGTTTTTGCTCCTACCTTGAAACATGGAGCTGACAAAATGGGGATCCAGATGTTCTATCGGCCGTCCTGTCAGCTCCTCTCTCTCAGCCAGGGCACAGACACAGCGGGAGACTGGGATCAGCATACCCGTGTACTGCGCTGGCACCACAAACAACAGCAGCCGCGGCCACAGGAGCTGTAGGGAACGAGGCAGTTGAGCAGGTCAGCATTCCTGCCTCTGCTCACAGAGGAAGAGGACTCTGTGAATTTCCCCGAGTCCTGTGTGCTTCAGAGCACATTGGAGGAGAGACCTGGGGTCTTGGAATGGGACGAGGAAGACGTGGGGCAAGGGCAGGGAGAAGCAGCAGGGCAGAGCATGACCTACTTTGGACATCCCTCTCACAGAGACGTCCAGTGATCCCAGGATGTCCATGCACAGCTCCTGGAGAGCTCCTTCTTCCTGGGCTTCCTGGGCAGAAAGGTGTCCGGATGCCTGCACAACAGTTGTAATGAACCACTGGTTACGCTCAGTTCTCAGGAGCCTCTCAGGAGGCTTAGGTGTGGCCCCAGCGGTGCTTCTGTGCCACCCTCCGAGCAGCACGGGTCTTCCAAAAGAAGATGCTGCCCACTGTCCTTACCCTTCTTGCCGTGGTGCGGCTGAACTCCCTGAAGATGTGCCCCACCACATCCCAGGCTGAGCAGCTCCAGGCATTAGCAGTGAACAGATCACTAATGAAATGCAGAACAGCCATCCTCACCTGCCAGAGAACAATTGTGGGTGTGATTTTTCTGGTCAGAAGGCAAAGGGAAGCCACCTGCTCATCAGGGCAGTCCTTTGGGCACAAGCAGAGACAACAAGAGCAGAGGAGAAGCTTTGGCTTCTGACATGAGGGCCAGGCCTTAGCACCTGGCTGTGCCATTTCCATGCACAGCACAGGGACCTGCCCGCTCCATTCTGCCTGCTCTCCCCACAGGAGCCATCATGACTGTGTAGTCAATGCTCCAGCACCTCTCCAGTCACCCCAGCCCTGCCTGTGCTGGCAGCAGCATCACCACCCCAACAGCACTTTCTTTTCCCAAACCAGCTCACCCGGATGCTGGGGTTGCTGCACAGACACTGCACAGCCTCGACGACCTGGGGCAGCTTCTCTGTCATCATGGGCTCTGCAAGAGATGCACAGAAGCATGAGCGGAGCCACAACCCAGATGGCAAAAGGGAGCCCTGGCAGTCCCAATGCGTGGTACTGACCAACCCGTGGTACTGACCATCAGAGCGAGCCAGAGCACCCAGCAGACCCAGGGCTGCCACGCATCCAGGCTCCCAGTCATCGCCCAGCTGCGACTGCAGAAACAGGATGGTTTCCTCTGGGCAGATCCGGGCTGCAAGGAGGAAATCCCACACTGTATTAGCAGGCAACACACACCCATTCCTGAGGTTTGTGGGAGAGGTTTTGGTCAGGGCACCACCAAGCATCGCCAAGGCTCCTCTCCTTACCCTGCAGCATGATGCAGTGGGTCAGCTGTGCACGAGCAGCCTCGCTGTGCTGCTTGCTGTCGTCATAGAGCTGTGGGAACAAGGTCCATTTGAGAAAATCACATCAGCACTGAGGATGGAAAAGACACCGTGCTGCCCGCTCTCGTCTCCCTGGGCACTCTCGGGAAGAGGACAGGCAGACAAAACCCAGCCCACCCCACAGCATCCCCGGGAGTACATGCACGGCTCTAGAGCAGCCTTGAGCATGCAGGAGCTAAGGCTGAGCCTCCTTACTCAGGGCATCGGGGCTTTGCAGTCCTCCTGAGACTTAGCCAAGAGGGAAACTGCTGTAGGCGCAAGGATAGGCTCCCCTTACCTGGTAGAACACAGCGCTAGTGACATCCAGAAACTGGTCCCTTGGAATGACAGATTCAGTGCCCCCTAAGGCCTCCAGGAAGATAGTGAGGCTCTGCAAGAGAGCAGGAGAGGAAGAAAGGGATGTAGCCACATCTAGCCACTTGCGAGTGCAGAAACTGTTTCCCAATTGTTTCTGTGCAGGGAGAAGCTCCTGCACAGGCATTCTTGTTTATCCCCCACCACCCAGCAGCACCAAGAGAGTCTCTCTGCTCTCAATCGAGCCGTGTTTGGGCATCATTTGCAGGCATTTCCCACCCAGCAGCCCACTTTTCCCCCATCAGATGCAACTGGCTGTGGTCCCCCCAGTTGTTAGCACACAGCTCCTCAGGCACTCAGAGCCCCACCACCCAGGTGGTGGTGATGAAGCCTCCCATCCCCAGGAGACAGGCACCAGTGACTCTTGGCTCCCTCCTGGCTCTTGTCCAGGCCATTCCTTCTTTGACTGAAGAGCTCAGGAAGCCTCAGACCTCCCTTGAACACCCATCCCTTCTTTCTCCAAGGGCTCCCCACCTCCTCCTTGCATCCCCCTGACCCCTCGTGGCACTTGCACGGGCCCCACGTCCACCCTGAGCCCTGCACAACGCCTCACCTTGGCCACCCTGCAGGTGTCTTGGATCTCCTGACACGGGTGAACGAGCCAGAGGAGCTGCTCCCAGACGTGCTCTTGGTGCCGCTCCTCTTGCAGGAGAACATCCAACATGGCAGCCACAGCCCCAAGGATGGCCTGTTTGTCCTGCAGAGGATGGCAGAGGCCCGGTATCAAAGACTGAAGGTCTGCCCTTCCTACACAGAGGGCTTTCCCTTTCCCTTCCCCTTCCCCACACCCCCACGCCCAGCAGGAAATGGGCTCACTCTGGAGAGCAGGCAGCTTTTCCCCATACCCTCATCCCCAGCTCTTTTTGCCACAATGCTGTGACATGCAGCTGCTCCCTGGCACAGAGCCACTTCAGGGCCCTTTGCAGAGCCAGCCCACTCCCTCTCATCACCCCTCAGCTCTCAGCCCACTGGGCACAGACAGAGCTGCCCACACGGGTGCCCCTGCTGCCATCCTGGGCTGGGAATGCAGCAGTGCTCACCTTTTCCTCCTGGCGGTCTTGCCAGTTCCACATCACGGAGAAGAGCAGCTCGTGAAGGTTCTCATAGATCCGCTCTTTCTCCATGGCAGGCCAGGGGCACTGCATTCCTGCGGACAAGTGAATCTTCACTCCATCCAGCCACTGTTTCACAACTGAGAAAACATAACAAAATACTTAGACAATAATAATGTTTTTTTGAAAAAGGGAGTGAGAGAAAAGGGAGCCTGTGAGAGTCTGCAGCAGGGTGAGGTGCAAGGGCTGTCCTGAGGCCCCCTGCTCTGGGGCCGGCACTCACCAGCACAAGCGATGCGCAGGATCTGGCCACTCTTCACCTGGCCCACCACACTGCGCAGGCCTGCCAGCATCAGCCACACAAAGGGGATGCACTGTGGAGCTGCAGAGAGGAAGGAGAGGGCCACAGTCAGAGTCCTGGCAGCGAGGGAGGAGGGGCTGCAGCCCTGCATCCCCCAGCTCTATGCAGATCACACGCAGAGGGCAGAGACCCCTTTCCCGGTAGTTATAGGTGTCTGGAGGTTGAGGGTACTCTACCATAGGTGCTGAAGAGTTTGCTCAGGGTGATGAGCACCAACTCCTTGCACATGTCCCCCGTGGCCTTCAGGTGGCTCTGGAGCTCAGCCATCACCAAGGTGAAGTGCGTCCGAGCCAGAGCCACCAGGACATTGCTGGCAGCTGTCCTCACATAGCTGGTCACGCCCTGGAAGAGAGTCACTGGTGACACGCGGCCCAGGAGACTGCCTGAGGCCCTTGGAAGAGCTAAGCCCCCACCATCCGCCAGCAGAACACCAGCGTGGGCAGGCGGTTCCCTTTGCCTTTGGGAGTGAGCCCTCACCTGGGCTGCCGTCAGGTCCCGGGACACCTCTGCCAGCAGCCGGTTCACCACTCCGCACGGCGGGCGGCTGCTGTCTTGGCACAGGGCGCTCTCCAGCTCACAGTACGCCTGCGCTCGGTCACCCTGGGGACAAGCATCAGTCACGCTCGCTTTGCCCGCTGCCACCCATCGCTCTGTGGATGTGCTGCCCGGCCTGGCACCCACGGGGCCGTGGCCCTGGGCCAGGAGGGCAAGGGTTGCTGGTTGGATGTCCCCAACTCACCTCCTGATCTTGCAGGCGCTGAAGCAGTAAGGTCGCGGCGCAGGTAGGGACAGGGCTTGACACCCTGCTTCTCTCCCTGCGACGCGTCCGTCTGGGCACGCAGCCCACACAAGCAAAGAGACCTGGAAGGAAAGAGCAGAGCAGCTGCCGCTGGTGTTGCTTGGAGCCAGGGCCGAGTACCCGGCCAGCTGTGGGAGGAACGCTCCTCCAGCCCCACAGCGCAGGGGTATGAGTGGTTGGCGGGGGCAGGAGAGGGAGCTTTCCCCTTGCTGGGGTGCTGGGCAAACCATGGCGGGCAGCTGCATTCGGCAGAGCAAGGACAGTGCTGCTGGCACAATGTCCTAAACAGACACTGGAGGCACACGTGTGCTCGGGCAGCGTCACGGGGTCCAGGTGGAGGGACTCACCTCGAAGGGCTCTCAGCCTCTCCATGATAGCAGGATGCCTCCAGATAGACACAAAGCTCTCTCTGGTTCCACTTCCTGCGGGTCCCACAAGCGGACTGAGCCACCGCTCCCACCACCCACAGGGGTGTATGAGGCAGCCACTGTGACACCACACTGCAGTGTCACCTCACAGAGAATGAATGACACGCCCCGGGCTGGGAACCAGACAGCGTGCAGGGCAAGCCTGCAGGCCCTCAAACACAGCACGTTTGTGTGATGCAATCAGCTCTGGGGTTCCGGTTCCATGCTGATGCAGGGAATGACCTCAGCGGATGATGGAGAGCCCCTGCCAGGGAGCAGCTGCTGGGCACCATTGCCTGGCATTGTCTTAGTGACTGGGGACTCCATGCCGGGAGGCACTGAGGCCCCCATCTGCTGCCCGACAACCTCTCCACAGAGCTCTGCTGTCCACAAGGGGCACGTGTCAGAGACATTAGAGAGGCTCCACCGCACCTGATCAAACAAGAACACCACCATCTGCTTATTGTCATTCAAGTAGGGTCATGGGAGGCTGCCACGAGGCAATGGCAGAATGTCAGAAAGAGACTTTGCATCTCATGGAAAGACACTAAAGGGATTGGGAGCACCAGGAGCGTTCTCCTCTGTCCTTCTGACTGGAGGCTGGGTCCCAGAAGGAAGGAGAAGAATAGAGGTGGTAAATTATTGGCTGATTACTGGGATGGTGTTGGGATCAAGGTTTTGTGTACCTTGATCTTGGACAGGTGTGTGGGCATGAGATGGAGCACAACTGAGCAGTTGGGGCCAAAGTGAGAGAGCTTGTGAAATTGAAAGGAAGAGTCTCAGGGAAACAGTTCAAAATGGGCGAGAGAGTCTCCTGCTCCAGAGAAAAAACCTCCGATCTGAGAGAGATGCCCTCCGAATTGAGAAAGACCAAGCATCACCTTGGAAATAGGTCTAGGCCCTCACATACATAATGCTTTAAGTCCTCCATACACATCTACACTTCTGAACGTACATAACAGCATTCATATATAAAGCCACTGGAATCACCAGAAGCAGTGGCTGAGGCTATTTCTTGTGTGATTCTATCGACTGGGAAAAGAAAATCTGCATTATTTTGATCATTAAGACCTAACATTCTTTCTCTTCCTATTGTCCACACACACAGAATGTAACTTGGCTGTGTATAGGCTTAGAAAATGAAGATGTCGTGCACTATAATTAATACTTCACACTGCACAAACTTCCAAATTACTGATCTGAAAAACAGCGTACGTACATTTTTAATAACAGCACAACTGCTGACAATAAAGCATAGAAGACCGGTTTGTAAAGATTGTTCTCTGCTAGGTGACCAAGGAGAATTTCAAAAAAAGGGGTGCAGATGCTCACTTGTCTATTGACTGCATAACCTACAAAATGTATTCCACCATGTACAAGTTCTGGAGAGCTATAAGAGACAGTTGTTGGAAGAAAAACTGAAGAGTATTCCCTTCTTGTTGGCAGCACACATTAAAAAACAAGATCTTGAAGAGCTGATAAAAGAAGCACTGCTTTCTTCAACTGATGGCATGAACTGTGAAAACAGTGTTCCTTGACTCAGCTATTCAAACTCATGTACAGTCTCTGAATATGAGAGACTTACGAGTGACACTGACATGCCATCCAAGTTGCAAAAATAATGGAATTGATATTGTGTGAGAATCCTTTGTTTTTTTGGCTCAAAGCTTGCTTCCTTAGGTGTTTTGTTGAGGAGGCAAGTGATGGATGTTGTGTGGCAATCAACATCGCTGTGTGGACAATTTTACATCTTTGGAGCTGTTTGCCTTCGGAAGATAGTGCTCAGGACTGTTTACTGGCAAAAGATCTAGCCTGTTACCAAATAACTCCTGTTTGCTAGGGAAGGCTGGGCGACAATGCCATTGTATCCTGCGAAGGCAAGATACAAGTTGGCCCCTCCCTGCTCCCTCTTATCTGCTGGCAAGGCCAGGAAGAGCAAAGGAGTTTCCTGCTGAGATCCCAGGGCCAGAAGCTGCCACTCCAAGGAGAGCTGACTCAACGACTTTGGATTTGAGCTGTCACTGCAAAGACAGCTGACTCAACCACTTTGAAAGCATTGAAAAGGGGCCATCATCGCCATGGTCGTGCGTCGCCGTCGTCGTCAATAGAACAACTCTGCCCGACGACCCACCACTACTGAGGATCAAAGACGGAACTACGAACCTCGCTGGATCCATGGTGGTGACTATGTCCCTCTTGCTGCCTATAAAGACTCCTTGCTTCTTTTCTGTCTTTTCTATCGCCCTCCTTCCCTTCCCCATTACCCTAATCATAATAGTGTCCGTCCTCCCCTTCCCCATTTCCCTGATTAAGATTTGTAATAAACTGGTCGGACCAACATTTGAACCGTTGCTTCTTAATCTCACGCCGGGTATATAGATTATGAAAGAACTTCCTCTCCCTCCTATAAATTGGAGCAAGACAGCATCATAAAAGTAGGTGTTGGTATGCCAAGTCCAAGTGTTTTTCCTCAGAGCAAGCTTTAACTGTGCTTGCAGGTGCTAGAATCTGATAAGAACAGAGTTAAGATTAATTTCAGATTTAACCTAGAGAGATTTGTTTCCTTCTGCAGGAATTGTTCTGCTTGGCTCTGAGTGGTAGGCAGCTATTTCAAAAATTTGCAGGCTTAAAATGGTCTAGTATTACTTTTGGGTTATTATTTGTCTAATACACCACAAGCAGTGTATCAGCCTTCTGGAACAGTGTTGCATTATTTCTTTCTTTGATTTCTGTTATTGAAAAATTAGGCTTTTATGAACTTTTAAACAATATCCTTAACAAATACCAAGGCAAAAAAAGCAGAAACCACTTATGTCTTGCAGTAGGGACTCTCCTGCATTACATTTCTTTACATTTAGGTGGGAACTCATGCCAGCCATGGCTTTCCAAGCAAGAGCTGTTCAAAACAGAAGCTTTATTTCTGTCTCATCAAAATTCTGGATTGGGGGGGGGAGGGGGGGGGGGGGGTTGTTTCTGTTTTAAGAATAATTGAAAAGTTTTTGAAAAGAGTATGGAAAGATGTCATGGTTTTTCAAAAGAAATTGTCAGGTACAAAGGAACTTCTTCATTTCTTCTGTGTTAAACGTGGCTTTGATGTGGACTTGATGATTCGTAAGTATGATTCAGTATAGCGATTTAAATGTTTCTACCACAAAGTGGTATTTTCTGTCTTGCTTTAGTAGAGAGAGGACTCAAAGGTTCTTCCACTTCCTTCACTTTTTTTTTTTGTTTTGTTTTGTTTTTCTGTTCACATCAAGGATTCTTTCCAGCCCAAGATTGTAAACAGCTTACAAAATACTTTGAGGTGATGCAACTTTGGATTGCTAAACTCCTCAGCATCTCATACCTCCAAGCATGAAATTAGTTGTCTCCTGCTTTCCCAGTATCTATAGTTTCAATTTTTAAAAAATAATATAAATAAATAAAAAGTATTAAAGGCAGACCAGGGATATACTTGTGTGACAAGTCAATAAAAGTCAGCAAAAGTTTAAACTGAAAGGACTGTAAATCTATGAAATCTTTACTGACATTTTAATGTTGTCCCTGTTATTCCCAAACATATTTGGAGCATTTCCTGTGACATTAATTAAGCATTTCTCATATTGTTTCTGCCCATTAACCCAGGTAACTGCTAAATCAATCAAAAATTGAGACTGTGAGTGGGAAGCTGCAGTGTAATGATTTGACCCTTCACTAGAACTCATGTACATGGAGGTGAATCTCCTGAAAATAGACTTTTATTGACCTCTGGTATAAACAGTCAGGACTCCATTAACTTCAGGGAGCTGTCTCATTTCATAGCACTTGAAGTTCTTGCCCTGTTGACCTTTAGGCAGGAATCTTTTTTTCAGAACATTTTTCTCATTCTTGTTTAAATTTGAACTCATTTTTATTGCCATTACCTAAAATCCTTCCCTTTTTTTTTTTTTTTTTAGCAGTACCTAGTTTTGTTTTTTTGTTGTTCTTAAGAAGAAATGTGGTTTTATTTTCTCCTCTATTGCATTTTATTTGAAACCATGGTTTCCAGGGCCAGCAGCCAACTCAGCAATTGCCTCTTAGAACAGAGATTTGACTGCGATTTATGGAAGAAATATAGGTGTGAGGCCTGCAAGAAAGCTCTAGCTAGGTCTGTTCTTACAACAGAACTCTTTGTCCTGCCTGCTGTGGAAGTTATGTGTGTAAACTCATGAGACTATTGTGATGGTAGAGAAACTGGAGGTATTTAAACATGGAGAAAACCAGAAAATTGAGCCTTTGGATATGACTTTTAAACATGTAGGTGGAGTAGCTCTTTTAGAGCCTCTTAATCTATTAATGCCACTGTTTTGTAGATGATGGGACAGGACTCTTCTCCCTTTTGTTTGCACTAGAGCATGTGACAGTCACATTTGTCTCTAGAGGAACAATCCAGATACCAATTTTTCTACAGAAATCAAAAATCTTCCCATAAAATGAAAGCTATGATACAGTATTTTTATTTTTTTCCTGTGAATCTCACTGGAGTGTACCAGTTGTGCTAAGCAAGTACCCATGAAATCACTTGCAGTGCAAATGCTCTTTATTTTGACAAGTTTAGAAATGTGTTGAAGATACAGTGACATAAGGAGAAGGGCAAAATACACCTTCTCTATTTTGAAAGATGAAGCAGTATTATATCAATTTAAGAACAACCTTGATGGATCTCTAAGCCAGTTGTGGAGTTTGATGCTGTCTATCTTAGAGCCAAGTCCACAGCAGCAGCTGCTGGATAAGAGTTGTCACTTACTCCCTCTTTCTACCCATTTTTGTGTTGAATAATCTTCACAATATGAGAGAAGTCAGACAGACCTGACAGCATTTCAATTTAATGGTTGCTCCTCTACAAGCAGTTACAAGCTCTTCAACAGAAGAGCAGCAGATTGCTGCTAATCTGACAAACTGGTAGGGTTACTCAGCAAGACAAATGGCCTCAGCAGTGGCACAGTG